TGTGAAAAAATGATTATGTTGAAGAACCTCATCTCAATTAGTCGCCTAGGGCCTCTGAATTCTCAGGGCCGGCCCTGGAAATCACGTTGGACCTAAGTTGTCTAAAAGATGTTCTAACTACAACTAGAATTGTCGAATGTTGAACAACCCATTTTGGTACCCACAGAATGATCCGAAGTAAACACATATTAGGAAAATAGATAGCACTATCAAAAAGTTATTTAAACGTGATTAAAAGCAACTCTTTTAATATCAGAATCAGTTAGTGACTTCACAAAAGGAAAGGCCGGCTAGACGGATCTGATTCTTGAAAACAGACAAACAAACAAACAAGTTTTGAGTAGTTTTGGTTATGCTTGATGGTTTTGGTGTGAGTGACAGATGCATTGTGACTGTAATATATGTTTCTTTTCTTTTATTTTTAGTTTTTCGCTTAAATCATTGTATTGATTTTCTCCTATGTTTTATACTTCTAATTTCTTGATATTTCCTCGAGAGTAGGATCCACTGGTAAACTTAAAAATAGACTGGATTTTTTCTAACAAAATTATATATAGTGTTAACCTCAAAAAATGAACTCAACAGATGTCGGGCTCATTCTCGCCACGTCAAGTACGGATCCAGCACGTTTCTACCGAATAAGAACGGTAGTTTGACTGTAATGAACGTAAGAGGCACTTTCCAGCGAAAGACAAAAATGTTCGGGCTCCAGCGATATGATTCGAGGACAATCACACTATCAATGATCGCCTTTAAACAAGATGATAATCAATAATAAACATCACTTTTGTAATGAAATATGTGGAAGGATAGATATGATAAGTAGATGTGTTTTCTCTTTCTTGTAAGAGCTCAAGTGTTTGTATAAATGTATGTTTGTCTATTTTTGCATCAATGAATCCGTCCCCCTTTTAGTTACAAGAGTAACATATTTATACTATTTTGCCTGATGTGGTGGTCGTTAGATCAGATCCACGTGGTCTAATCTCCCTTATTGGGACGTCGCCTCACCGTCTGTTTCACGCATTAAATAGATTGACAACAGGTCAGTCGCCCTATACAATATGCTGACACACTGACAACTTTATTACAAGTGTTACATCAATCATTTCTAAAAGATCTTCAAATCTATTACAAGAACAGCGCCGAACTGGAGAGCCTCGAACGACTTAAGAGGGCCATGGTTGGTTATTGTGCCTCGTCTTTGCAGAGGTGATTCAGGGTGGACCTTATTGCAGTGTAAGGGGTTCAGATACTGGATTAAGGATCTCGACCATTTGCTTCATTGGGATCTCTGACTTGTTGGGCCTTCTTTTGACTTTCCGTTGATAGTCCTGCCTTCGTGACGTACTACTTGACCTTGCTTCTTTAGACCTCGAAATCGAGGAGTAACATATAGGTTCTGAACTTAAATGCTCCTGCAACAACAAGGATTCATGTTTGAAATCACTACTGCTACTTTTCCTTATTTTATATTAACTTAATTAATTAACTATTTACTATAATATATGAATATGATTTCCTTGCACCAGTTACTTGGTGAATTTAAACCAGAGATTAAATTCTATTTTGTCCCATTTTTAATCTAAAGCGAAGTAATTTGTTTTTGAATTGTTAGTTTAAGTTTTATTATTTGTTACGTCATCGATTTTTCGTTAGCGTAATTAGACAAAATTAAGTTAATAGAAATGTTATTCGATTAAAATAAAAAAAGTGGGGTTACTCAATTGAAATGATACTAAAATATAACTACACTATTAAACAAAATTAAAGTATAGTTACCTAATTGAAATAATACGAAAACTACCATGAATGAAATTTACTCGATCCAAAATCATTGTTCAAACAATCTATATCAATAGTTACAACAATTCATGTTATCCATAAACATACATAATAGAATACAATTATTACTGATACTTCTTGTACTAGAATGATCCTTTAGTCTCTATTTCGTTCATCGTTCTCATTGTACATTTGTTTGTTTTAAGAGGGTGTTTGGTGATAATTAAAATTAGATTTTGAGCGAATTGTGAAAAAAAATTTTGAAATGTGTGGTTGAAAAGATGTGGGACTCATGAAAGATGGGGTTAATACTGATTATTTGACTTTGACTTAGATTAAAATCAGATTTTAATCCGACTCAAACATGCCCTAAGTAACAACTTTAAGTGAATGCTTCAAACTCAATTACATAGGAATTTTTGTTTTGTTTTTTCTCTCCCATCTCTTTAAATCATTCTCCTAATATTTCTCTAAGCATACTCACATAGATAAATGGGAAAAATACAGTAGCGATACCAAAATTTTCATTTAATAGCAGATTTTGTCCAAATCTTTCATTTGTGTCACCCACGGTACCAAACATTTCAAAATGTCGCAGTTGAAGTCCAAATGGATAATTTTTGTTAGTTTGACTTTTAATTAACCAAATAATTGACCTTGACTATAATTTTGACAAATTTTAAAAGGCCAATATAGTAACTTTACCTTTTTATAATAAAATTACTAAAATCAAATAATTAAAATTAAAAACCTATTTCCACTTCTTCTTCTCCATAA